AGAGTAGGCAGAGTCTCTGACTGGTGGAGGAGTGGTGGGGAGGGCTAAATACCATAACAGAGCAGAGGGCAGGACAGCCCAGGCAGAGTCTCCTAGACACCCACTCCCAATCCAGGAGGATTCTGCTATGTGCCTTGTAGCCCTGACCTCCCTCCTACAGACAGATGGCTCTGGGAAGCTCAACCTGCAAGAATTCCACCACCTCTGGAACAAGATTAAGGCCTGGCAGGTGAGAAGAGAAAATGAAGTATGGGAGTGAAGAATGGGGTTGATCTGGAGATTCAGTGTTATGACTGCCATCCTCAAAATTTCTATTGCCAGAAAATTTTCAAACATTATGACACAGACCAGTCCGGCACCATTAACAGCTACGAGATGCGAAATGCAGTCAACGACGCAGGTGCTGTGAAGGAAGTAGTGACAGGGATGTGGACCCGAGGCGGTGGGAGCAGCAATGGGAGGGGCCTAGGCTACTAGGGCCTCACAAGAGAAAGGAGAGGGAAAGGGCTTCTCCTTTTCCTTTCCCAGGCCACAGGGTGGCCGAGGGGCAAGGAAGGAGCAAGGAAAATAGAAGGCAGACCCAAGGCCTCCAGCTCCACCTCCACCTCTCACATGGTCCTCTTCACAGGATTCCACCTCAACAACCAGCTGTATGACATCATTACCATGCGGTATGCAGACAAACACATGAACATCGACTTCGACAGTTTCATCTGCTGCTTCGTCAGGCTGGAGGGCATGTTCAGTAAGTGTGGGAGGGGGGCTGCTCTCTGGTCTCTTGATCCCTTCAGCCCCGACCCACAGAGACAGTTGTCACAACAGGCATCTCACCTGATAATCTCCAGTCTGCTCCATCCAGGCTGAACAAGGGCTAAGGCCCTCTTTAGGGCCAGAATGGGATGGCAAAGGGAGGGTGACTGGTGAGTCTCTGCCTGCAAATCTTTGTGCTGATGAGGGCCAGCACTGGGCACATGGTCTTCTTCAGGAAAGTTACAGTAGTAGAGGCAGAGTGCGCCTAGAACTGGCCTCTGCCCTGTGCACTCTTTCACAGGAGCTTTTCATGCATTTGACAAGGATGGAGACGGTATCATCAAACTCAACGTTCTGGAGGTAAAGCACAGACACAGCACATTCCCCCTACACATTAAAACTCAAGGTGGAGGAATCAGCAAGGCAGACTGGACCCACATTGCACTCCTAATTTCCATACCATGGTGGAGGGAAGGGATAGGAAGAGAACATGGAGGGAGGATCAGCAAGGAATGTGGCTTACAGGACACATGCATTCGAGGCCCAAAGGGACCTCAGCTCCCCTAATCACTTTATGCTGGAAAACATGTACCTTCTTAGGGAAGATCTGGGAGAAAGGAAACAATAAGCCACTGTTTCTTGGAAAATATTCCAGGGGTCTGACCTGCAGGACTGTTCCCTTTCCCCTTGCCCTCTAAGCTGGGGGTCACTCTTTTCAATCTAAATTCTGATCATAGGACTTCCTCTTTCAGTGGCTGCAGCTCACCATGTATGCCTGAACCAGGCTGGCCTCACCCAAAGCCAAGCAGGATCATTCAGGATTTCCATTTCACCCTCTATTTCCAAAGCCACTTATCTCAAAGGACCCAGCAGCTGCATCCCTGGAGGCCTCCAACCACCTCATCAGTCCTGTTCCCCCTCCATTTTACCCTGCTACCCATCCTTGATCGGTCATGCCTAGCCTGCCCAAAGCTTTAGTAAAGCAATGAGGTAGGAAGAACAAACCATTGTCCCTTTGCCGGGTGGAGGGAAGTGCCAGCTCTAGTCTGAGCTGCCTCAGCTCTGAAGCGAGTGCTGCTTACCTTGCTTTAGGCTGTCTGCTGAAGCACCTGCCAGTGGCACTCAGCACCTCCTTGTGCTGGAGCCTCCATCACCATCATGCTCTCCCACCACGGGCCAGGAACCAAACCAGCACTGGGTTCTTCTGCCTAGTTATTTTAGGAGAGGCCTGCTGTGGGGTAAACTCACTCAGTGGAATAGGGCTGGTTACTTTGGGCTGTCTGACTCGTAAGTTTGGCTGCATTCTGAAAAAAGCTGATCTAAATAAAGGCATGTGTATGGCCCTCTTGTGTTTTGTTCTCTCACATTTAGATATCAGCCATAGCATGACTGAACAGCTTCCAGTCATACACTCACCCATCACCTAGAAGAGAACAATGGAAAACATATACAAAAACAAAATCCTGAACCCCCCTTTAATCATGCCTACTGCTATCTCTTGAGCATAGGAATTGCTCAGATACTTTCCAAGACATAAAAGGAAGGCAGAGGAAGAGCTGTTGCTGTAAAAGACATCAAGAATAAATGGGTCATGTACAAGGGGAGGGGCCAGTTACCTGAATGTAACGGAGTAGAGATTGAGCTGTCCTGGCTCCTCTGCTCACTAACTGACCTGTCACATGACTGTGGACAAAACCCTGAATGAAGCTGTTTGCCAAACTTATCTGGACCATGGCCTGTGGCACATCTATAGGCATCTTGTGTTTTCCACCCAATTTCCTTCTTCTTCGCTAAGCCAACATGGAAAGGGTTGACTGTGAATACGCAGACAAGGTAACGAAAGTAAACAGTCAATTAGTAAAAGTACTTTATTTTCCTCTTGTATTTGCTTTATATCTTGCTTTACAAAGTTATGAAGTTCACAGCTTTATACCAAAATGTAAGAAGGCTATTTGCTTATAAACATTTTTGCAGTCAGGTGTCATCTGATTTCATTCTTCTAATCCATATTCAATATTTAAAAAGTCAGAAACCAAGGGTGCTGGAGCAGCTCTAGGGCATATATTTCTCTTAAATAGGAGAAAGATTTTCAACAGCTTTTCCTCCTTGACCCCCTCCTCTCCCAATTTATTTGGGCCACTACCTTGAATTTAGAGTGAATCTGGGAAATTTAGTCACCATGTAAGCCAACAGGGCCATATACTTGGGCTTGGAGGTGAGGTTAGAGGTTACTGTCTAATAATCAGTACGTTTGGTTTATATGAGGATTTCACATCCACTTGCATAAGGAACTCAGTCTATCCCAAATCACCTCTACAACAAACCCAAGGAACCTGATGATTTCGGGCAGGGATAAAACCATTATTTTATAAATGTGGCGGCAAGTATGGCCTTCATAATTCTAGAAGCTCCCATTTAGGTAACAGAAACAAAATTTATATGTAAGCATAAACTGCAGTTATTTGAACAAACCAGAGCGTATGTGCTCTTCAAATCCCACTTCACAATATACTTCAATATCCCCTCCAGTGAATTCTCTTCCATAAAATATACCATTCCACTAAGTATATAACCTACTCCCACCAAATCATCCACATGCCTCATCACTAAAGTTGTCCATTGTATAATCTACCAGAAAAAAAGACAAAACCTTTGTTAGGCAAATAATCACTTAACCAGTAATAACACTGCCTATAAATTATGTGTAAGTCAGGAGCTAAAGAATCCACTGTTAACTCTTCTGGGGAAGAAAAAAAATTTTTCCCACAAAAGCAGGAGGGCAGTAGTAAGTAATGACTTTCTCTCAAATTCAAGTAACATCAGGTCAACATAACCTTTGCTCTTGAGAGTTTTGTTTGCATTGTGTTGAATTGCTTTATAACTGAGTAGAGAGGTATGCCAAAATTATTATTATTATTATTTTTTTTTTTTTTGAGACGGAGTTTCACTCATGTTACCCAGGCTGGAGTGCAATGGCGCCATCTCGGCTCACTGCAACCTCCGCCTCCTGGGTTCAGGCAATTCTCCTGCCTCAGCCTCCTGAGTAGCTGGGATTACAGGCACGCACCACCATGCCCAGCTAATTTTTTTTTTTTTATTTTTAGTAGAGACGGGGTTTCACCATGTTGACCAGGATGGTCTCGATCTCTTGACCTCGTGATCCACCCGCCTCGGCCTCCCAAAGTGCTGCGATTACAGGCTTGAGCCACCGCGCCCGGCCGCCAAAATTATTTTTAACCTAATTAAAAACTTTCACATAAAACTTGAAGTGACTGATACTTTATCAGAACAAACTGCCACTTAAATACCAGCATAGGTACACAAAATGTTTATGCTATGGTTTTCTTGTCTTTGAGCCATTAGAAGTAGGCAAAAGCAATCGAAAATAACATTCTAAAAGTGGCTCCAACTACTTTAAAGACATGAGTCAGTTTCTGTCAGGTCATCTAATGGTTTCCTTACTTCACAAAGCTACTAAATACCAGAGTCAACACAGATCCCTGAGCCCGAGCTCTTCTCTGAAGGGAAAGACGGCTACAATCAGTCACAACATTGTGGAAGACATTAAAAAAAAGAAGCCGAAGTCCTGCATAATTTTCAAGACACTTGTAAGTTAATAACACACAACCATAAGCAGCCAAAATGCTTATGGTCCCTTTATTTCTTAACAGAGGGCTAGAATGGTTCATTTTGGCTAATACACTAATCTGGTATTAAAAGAATTTCATGTGTTCTTGAAACAAAGGCATTACTGCCACTGCTTCAAAAAAAAACCCTTTACAAAATGAAGAAAAATGACAAGTACAGGTTCCCACGCATATACATACATACAAAGGAACCTGCACACTTGCACACACAGAGGCAGATATAGGCACACAGTTCCACCAAAGCGAAATCCAAATCAGAGTTCTTACTGACTCTACCAGTCTGGAATACTCTCAAAAGTTCCCCAAAACTGCCCAACACCTCACCTATCCTTTTCTGCTGCACAAAGCCATGCTCATCTTTTCAGACATAACCTCAGGCAGGGTAGAAGGGCACTATGCCACAGAGCATTCAAGGCTTTCTTAGCACGCTACCAGGCAATGAGAAAATGCGGCTTCACTACAGCCCAGAGAAAAAGGCCAGGTTTAGTCATTAATCCAAATGCATTTTCCCGGGAAATGACCATTCCCAAACCCACAGAACAGCCTGGCTTTTCTGGTTATCCTTATAGGAAATGGGGGTGAGAGGTGGGAAAAGCTTCTTAATTTCATACAGAAACAGCACAAATATTTAATACACCTTTTGCAGCAAGATGATCTTTGTTCTCCATTAATCACATAAAGCTCACTAGGGTGGTTAACAAAACAGCTTTCCCCAAGGACAGAAGTCAAGAGCTTGTAGGGCCATTTATTATATAGTAGTAGGCCATTCATTATTTCCTAGATTAACTCTTTTTTTTTTCTTCTTGAGGTAGAGTTTCGCTCTGTCACCAGGCTGGAGTGCAGTGGTACAATCTCGGCTCACTGCAACCTCTGCCTCTCAGGTTCAAGCGATTCTCCTGCCTCAGCCTCCCGAGTAGCTGAGACTACAGATGCCCACCACCGCACCTGACTAATTTTGTTATTTTTAGTAGAGACAGGGTTTCACCATGTTGGCCAGGCTGGTCTAGAACACCTGACCTCGAGTGTTCCACCCGCCTTGGCCTCCCAAAGTGCTGGGATATAGGCGTGAGCCACTGTGCCTGGCCTCGTAGATTAATTCTTAACATTTTCTGAATCAAGTAAGACCCACTGGAGCCTTTCCTGGAAAAAAGAACACAAACTTAGTCTCATACACAATTTCTGGGGGCTTGCAGACCCTCTTGAAGCCTCTCCATGAACCCCTGGAGAAGTCCCCCTGCCCGAGAGCCTGAGGGAAGACATGTGAGTGAATGCGTGTACACTAACAGGGGTGAAGACAGACCTGGATGCTCTGCAATCCCAGACAGCAGAAAGGACCATGTCCCAAAGCTTGGTATGTGGTCCTGGGTGCCTCCCCCTTATTTTCTCTCTCTGAAGAAGCTTTCTAAGTTGTTTGGTTGTTTGAGACAGAGTATTGCTCTGTCATCCAGGCTGGAGTGCAGTGGCTCGATCTGGCTCACTGTAACCTCCGCCTCACAGGTTTAAGTGACTTTCCTGCCTTAGCCTCCTGAGTAGCTGGGATTACAAGTGCCTGCCATCAAGCCCAGCTAATTTTTGTATTTTTAGTAGGGACAGGGTTTTGCCATGTTGGCCAGGCTAGTCTTGAACTCCTAGCCTCAGGTGATCTGCCTGCCTCGGCCTCCCAAAGTACTGGGATTACAGGCATGAGCCACCACACCCAGCCACTTTCTGAGTTTTGAGGATCCAGAAACAAACGGTTGGAAAGCAACACTTCTCCAAGTTTACTGATGAGTCCAGAGAAAAATCCAAAAACAAAGCCCCCCTGAGGGTTTGTGAATTTGGCTGTTCTCAGTGGCCAGGCAGAGACTCTGCTGCACTTTCTTTCCCAGTTAGCAGGGAAGTGAAGGCAAAGAAATGGTCTCAGAAACAAGTCTCTAGGAAGTCTGCTTGAGGTCCTAAAAACCATATTCAGATGCCTTATTCTAAGCCCTCTTCCCCACCATCTTGGGTGCTGCAGGGGGGTGGAAAACACCCCGTGGGTCCAGAGGAAAACTTGATGGCTGCCATCGGTTTAGGCACAGCCATACAGTGGGAGAGATGGAGGTTGGCAACTGAACAAACCAAAAGGGTTCAAGCCGACATCAGGCTTGCAGGGTCAGACACTAGAAAGGAAGATAAAGGTACACCTCCAGTTCCAACAGCCTGACAGGATCTGTAGCAAGGAGTGCCAGGTTCAACAGCAAACGTAAAGGTAGACATTAGGTCTATGTACTGCCTCACGCTGAGCTTTCTATCCACATTTATAGACATTTACTAGGAAGTGGTGTCTGTAAGGACTTGTCACTATGTGATTTGCTTTCTGAATTCCTAAAATATAGTCAGCAGAGCAGCCACTGTTTGTCAAAAATCTACCGTGTCCTTTAGCGCTTAAAGCCAGCTCTGTCCATCTATAAAGCAAAAAAACAGTGACATGCACTGCACATAATTGTTAAGAAAGAAAACTATTTGCTTCCAATTTAAATACCTGGCTATTACAAATGGAGAAATTAAAACTGATCCTGAAAGTCTAGCACTTAAACAAACTTGTATTTAAAAGCCTGACTACAGGTTTAAACCATCATAAGAATATAAACAAAAAATTGCAAACTGAAATCAATAAAATATACATATGATTAGGGTCAAACTGGGTAACCAATTAGGATCTGTATCTTTAATAAACATCTGGAGAACGCTAGTAGCATAAATCATTATATGCCATGCTGTCCCAGAGGCGTATGGTTCCTTAACATCTGTCTAAATCTGTTTGAAACCTCCAGCAAGAACTTAAAGTGTCCTCTATTATCCCATAGAGCTGCCCAGACTTATGCTAGGGGTAAGCCTGGCTAGTAACCACTATACCCTTCCTTGTTTCACTGGGGAAGGGAAGAGAGTGGCGTGTGTGGGGGGCCAATGTGAAAATAGTTCAACTAATGACTTCCCAACATGGGAGGCAAAAACTTCATGAATCAATTTTGCTGTCATCTTCAGCATGTCGTTCAATATGTCCTGCAGCATCCTAGGAATGAAGGGAAAGGGGCCCATGAGAGAAGTTGGTAGGAAGACAGGAGAAAGTCAAAGCCAAGGAAAGTCACGTAAGTCCATTCCATCTAGGATCCAGGCAGGAAAGGCAGTTAGGAGCCAGCACTTCAATTACTTACAGGAAACCATGTCCTTACAGGTGAACTACTTTCTCAGCACAAGAGCACGCTAATCAATCTCCAGGTTCAGTTACTGGATTTGAAACATCCGAAAACATTCTCTTTAGGCCCTTTCTCAACAAAAACAACCTAATTCTTCATTTCAAACTTCATTAAGCTGCCCCTCAAATCTCTGAATCATAAAAAGAAAAAACTCTAGGCCTTCCCTATGCATTGCAATTCTCAATAATAAAACAAAAAAGGTTTCCTAGTCTGTACCCTGAGCAGTCTACTGAATCCCAGGTGAGCCTCAATCCCACTAATGTACCTGTTTGGATCCTTTCCTAGCAGTGAAAAAAGCATCGCAGTTCTTCCAGCGACATTTCAGAGTTTGGAAGTTCGGATTAGTATGGTCGGTCAGTAAGTGTTGTTTTAAATGATCGACAACGCCAAATATCAGAGAGCAACCATGCCACTGGAGAAAAAGAAGATGAGGGGACTCAGTGAAAAAGGGTACAGTGAATGTGAATCAGATCAGCCCTCACCTGGATCCCATAAGCACTATGAAAGCAAAACCAGCCCCTTGCCTCTTGCTTTAAATGTATTCTTGGCTAGAAAATACAACAAAGCTAAGGCAACCTTGAAAAGACTGGAAAAGTCTTTTAATACTTTGGTATTTTGAGAAGACAAAGCACTAACATAGCAATTACAACTTGTTAAATCCAGCAAATATTTATGGATAAATTACCTTAAAATTCCCTTTAAACCATATTCTTTTATGTTGCCATCATAAAATGGAGTTTCTATCTTAGTTTATTCAATACAAAAGGCAAATACCTTTCCTATAATACTAAAAGGGTTTTTTTTTTTTTTGAGATGGAGTTTCACTCTTGTTGCCCAGGCTGGAGTGCAGCAGCATGATCGCAGCTCATTGCAACCTCCGCCTCCCAGGTTAAAGCAATTCTCCTGCCTCAGTCTCCCAACTTGCTGGGATTACAGGCATGTACCACCATGCCCAGCTAATTTTGTAATTTTTTTTTTTTTTTTGGGTAGAGATGGGGTTTGACCATGTTGGTCAGGCTGATCTCAAACTCGTGACCTCAAGTGATTCGCCTGCCTCAGCCTCTCAAAGTGCTGCAACTACAGGTGTGAGCCGGCCCAAAAGTGCTGTTTTTAACAATTCTACGAGCTGTTGAATGTAAACGTGAAAATAAAAATATCTGATAAAGAAAACCACATTTGTGGAAATATTTATTGTAGAATACTGTTTGCCGTGGAAGCCTGACTTTACTCACAGCCTTTATCACTTGAATCACAATCTTATGATTACCTACTTATTTTTTTAAGCTGTGATTTTACTTCTAAATGTGGCTTAATTTCATGTATTAGAAAGCATAAGCTAGTGTCATGCTTTCTAAGTGGTGGCTCAGTGGGATTACATACCTGTAATCCCAGCCCTTTTGGAGGCTGAGGTGGGTTGATCACTTCAACCCAGGGGTTCAAGGCCAGCCTGGGCAACATAGTGAGACCCTGTCTCTCCAAAATAAAACAAAATACAAGAATTAGCTGGGCATAGTGGCGCATGCCTGGAGTCCCAGCTGCTAGGGAGGCTGAGGTGGGAGGATTGCTTGAGCCCAGGAGGTTGAGGCTGCAGTGACTATTGTGATCACACTACTGCACTCCCACCTGAGTAACAGAACAAGATCGTATCTCAAAAAAAAAACAAGAAAGCATAAAGACTCTCTCTGTCTTAGCTTTTCCCAACAGGCTTGTTGGTAAAGCCTTGTGATTCTAATTCTAACACGTTTATTTTTTTAAAGTAATGCAAAGTTAAGTGTTTCCTCTCTCAGTACTACTCCATCCCTCTGTCTATAGAGCCAGAAGTATCTTCCCCACTTCTCTGTATAGATTAACTCTACTTGTGTACTCTGGATCCTGTCTTTCAGTAATGCCTCTTTATCCATGGTTTCTGGTTTCACTTTCTGAGGTTTTAGTTACATATGGTTAACCATCTTCAAAAACAATATTGGAAAATTCCCAAAATAAACAATTCTTGACTTTTAAATTGCACATTATTCTGAGCAGTATGATGAAATCTCATGCCATCTCGCGCAGATGTGAATTGTACCACTGTCCAACATATCTACGCTATATTCACTACCACCTATTAGTCACTTAGCCCTCTTGATTATCACAGCAAAAAATCAGACTATATCCCCCTCGGATAAGGAGGAACTGTACTAGATTTTGCTTGCCTTCACTCAGAAAATTAAAAAGCAATGATGTAATGTGTAAACAGCTGAAAAGTCAATAGACCATGGACAAGTGTAAAGTCAAATTATAAAATGTAGAGTGTTAAGTTCATGCCTTCAGTGCTGAAAAGGATATTAGAGTTTGGAGGAAAAGCTACCATGATTAGAACTGATGAAAAAAAAATTAAGGCTTAAGGCTTAAAAGAAACAGTGTAAAAGTTGTTTGTTTGTTTTTTTGAGACAAGAGTTTTGCTCTTGTTGCCCAGGCTGGAGTGCAATGGCGCAATCTCGGCTCACTGCAATCTCTGCCTCCCAGGTTCAAGCGATTCTCCTGCCTCAGCCGCCCAAGTAGCTGAGATCAGAGGCATGTGCCACTAGGCTCGGCTAATTTTGTATTTTTAGTGGGAGAAGGGGTTTCTCCATGTTGGTCAGGCTGGTCTTGAACTTCCAGCCTCAGGTGATCTGCCCACCTCAGCCTCCCAAAATGCTGGCATTATAGGCATGAGCCACTGCACCAGGCCTTAGTGTAAAAGTTTTAAGGGTTAATCATCAGTCCTTTCCCCAAAATAAAAGTTACACAATTCAGCCTGATGAACTGAAGTTTAGAACTTATACAAGATCATAAATTTTTTTATTTGCCTATTCCTCAAAAACCAATGAGGACACAAACCAAACCATTAACACTAGTAATCTCTGATGAGTGGGTGCAGTAGAAGGGGCAGTGCCATTACTAAAATCAGCACTTCCACTTTTTATTTTGTGTATTTCTGTATTATTGTTTTCTAAGCATGTATTGATTTTATACTAAAACAAAACAGCTACGTAGGAGACAACCTGTGATCTACAGTGTAAGGCATAAAGTAGATCTAAAATATAAAAATGCTATATTGATGATACTGAAGACCTATCAATTAGCCTAGGGTGAAACAACCTCTAAAAGTTCAGTGACAAGAAGAGTTTCACTCCTTACCCAACAACGGAAATTCTGCATCAGATTAAGCCTCACAGCCTGAATACTGCCATCATAACAGCCAGTGTAAATCTGGAGAAAGAAAGTTTTATAGTATCAGTCCAAAATACACACAAACTACAAAACACTCTCAAAGCACGAGTCACAAGCTCCTTGCAGCAGCTACAAGAAAACAAAAACCTAAATCAAAACCAGCTCCAGACTACTAGAATGGGAAAGTATTTTCCAGATTTAGTCTAGGCATTTTGCAGCTGTGCTCCTTAGACAGCCAGTCAGGATCAGGGCAGAGAGGAGTGGCAGGGCTAAGAAGCACCTACTTATACTTTATACTTTAACTGGGTAAGCCCTAGTTTCTATCAGGTACTCTATGTTAGGCACCTGTAATTCACTGGAAAAGAAAGCGTTCCACTCAGAGTTTGAAAAACATCCATTCTGGTTCAACTCTGTAACTTTAAAATAAAATAAAGAAGGCTTAGCAAGGTTATGTGAGTTAGTTTCTACTTTTAGATCTGCTGTAACTATGCCACACTGACCAAATCTCCTGACTCCATCTCAGTGTTCTATTCAGATCATGTCTCTGGAAAATGCACCACTCAATTTATTTTATTTTATTTATTTTTAAGACGGGGTTTCACCATGTTGGTCAGTGTTGTCTTGAACTCCCGACCTCAGGTGATCCACCCGCCTCAGCCTCCCAGAGTGCTAGGATTACAGGCGTGAGCCACCGCACCAGCCATTTTTTGAAGCATCTTAAATTTACCTTCTATTTAACTATAGTTGACACTACCATTTTTATTGTAATAATTTTGGCTATTAATAGAAAATGGCATATTCAGCACTGTCCCCTGGTTACTTCCCTATTATGCCAACAGATGATAAGGTACTTAATATTGAGGCATATCAGAAGCAGATGTCACTTTTAGAAGTGAAAAGAATTTTTTAGTAAATACATTCAAAAGCAAGTATCTGACATGGCAACTAATACTCACCATGCTTTTATGGATGGTCATACACATAATCATGTCTTTGTGTCCTCCATAAACTTGTAGCCGATCATGAGACTTAGGCAGAAAAAAGAGAAAGAGAATTAAAGTTATGTATACCTTGCATTTGATAAGCACAGTCCCTAAAGGCCTTTGGCAGGTTTAAAAGCCATACCTGAGGTACTAAGTTGAAGCCCTTGTAGCATTATAACAGAAATAGAATCTAATGACAATTTTTCTTTTACTTCCTACTAGTCAAGGAAGGTGCTGGTAATCAGAAGTAATAAAATCAATTTTGTTAGAATCAGAGTTTTAAACTTGAAATTGCAGACAAGGAGAACTAGACAGGTTTATTTATTTATTTTGAGATGGAGTCTCACTCTGTCACTAGGCTTGAGTGAACTGGCAGGATCTTGGTTCACTGCAATGTTCGCCTCCTAGATTCAAGCGATTCTCCTGCCTCAGCCTCCAGAATAGCTGAGACTACAGGTGTGCACCACCACGGGCCTAGCTAATTTTTGTATTTTTTTTTTTTTAGTAGAGACAGGGTTTCACCATGTTGATCAGGATGGTCTCGATCTTTTGACCTCGTGATCTGCCCACCTAGGCCTCCCAAAGTGCTGGGATTACAAGCGTGAGCCACCGTGCCCAGCCGGTGGACAGGTTTTAAGAGACTGGAGCTGCTCTCCAGAAATTAAGTTTTGACACCCATGACTCAGATCAAGTATCTTAGAGCAGTTTCTGAAAGTAGTAGTCCACGGGCCAGCTATTTCATAATTATCTAAAATGCTTGTGAAAATGCAGATTCCTGGGTTCCATCCCACCTAAGTGTATCAAAAATCAACACTTAACCCAAATAGACAATCTCCCCAAATCATTCAAGCAAAATACTGAATCTAAATTCTACCTGTAATTCATAGACACGAACAAATTTGTCCAGGCAAGCAGTCACCATCACTTTTCCTAGGATATTCACCACAGTCACTGCATGATTGTGACCTTTATAGATCCGCACGAGCTCACCAGTCTGTGTCAGAAGAGAAGCAAGGGTCACTAGATTCACTTTCCAGATTTCTTCCTAGTTATAATTCTATGATTCTAAGAGGCATAATTCTGAGAATATTTTACACACACGTCATTGTGTTAACTTTAATAGAAGTATCCCACAAGCATTTGTTACATATACAAAATATATGAATTGTATCCTAATGGAGAGACTCTAATGTCATGGAAAGAAAATGGCCAATATTCTATCTGTATGTATTTTATGGCCTTCAAAGTACTTTTACTTTTTTCATTTCACTGGATCTAGACAAGTTCATCAGTTGGGAATATTCTGAAATTTACAGACCAGGAACTGAGCTTTAAAAAGCTGCTGCTATGACCTAACAGCAGTCTCTCAGCTGTTTCTGTTGTTCAGTTTTTTTAAGATATGGGGTCTCACAACCCAGGCACAGTGGCTCATGCCTGTTAATTCCAGCACTTTGGAAGGCTGAGGTGGGCAGATCACTTGAGCTCAAGAGTTCAAGACCAGCCTGGGCAACATGGTGAGGCTCCCCAAAAATACAAAATACAAAATAATACAAAAAAAAAATTAGCCAGGCATTGTGGCGCACACCATTAGTCCCAGCCACTTGTGGGGCTGATGTGGGAGGATCCCTTATCCCTTGAGCCTAGGAGGTTAAGGCTGCAGTGAGCCAAGATCATACCACTGCACTCTAGCCTGGGTGACAAAGTGAGACCCCCACCTCAAAAAAAAAGAAAAAAAAAAGAAGAAAGAAATAGGATCTCACTTGGTCACCCAGACCAGAGTGCAATGATGTGATCATAGCTCACTACAGCCTTGAACTCCTGGACCAAACAATCCTTCCACCTCAGTGTGCTGAGTAGCTGGGATTACAGAACACACTGCCATGCCCAGCTAATTTAAAAAAAAAATTTTTTTTTAAAAAGACGGGGTCACTATTTTGCCTAGGCTGGTCTCAAACTCCTGGCCTCAAGTAATGCTTCTGCCTCAGCCTTCTGAGTAGCTGGCATTACAGGTGACAGCCACTGCAGCCTGCTCTCAGCTGTTTTTACTAGTTCTATTTTAACTACATATCACATCTTTCTGAAAGCCTCAGCTGCTCAGTTTATTTCAAGTTTAAATGAGGCACTCAAACTAAACCTTACATAAACTTTGAGTCTGCCCATCATTAAAAACTTTGATGAAATAGAATTTCTAGGTTGCTCAATATTACGCAAGAGCATATGCATAGGGATGATCATGAATCCCTTCAATGGATAAAGGCCTTAATTTAAATTGCAAGAGGTTTAAGAAAACCTTCCAGCTTTAACCATCATTTTATTCAAGGTTTCTTTATACAACACCAACATAACTTACGTGAATGTTGTGGGCATGGACTGACTGATCACTGGAGCCACTGAATACAAGATCATTCACCACCTGAAAGAAAAATAATCAGTAGGTCAGATTCCTGATAAGATTCTCAATTTTCTCTATAACTTGTAATACACATGGCAAATTCTAACTACCATCTTATTTTGAGATGAGCATGATGAATGAGGTATAAAATAAAAGTTTCTCAGACAGGCCGGGCGCGGTGGCTCAAGCCTGTAATCCCAGCACTTTGGGAGGCCGAGGCAGGTGGATCACAAGGTCAAGAGATCAAGACCATCCTGGTCAACATGGTGAAACCCCGTCTCTACTAAAAATACAAAAAATTAGCTGGGCATGGTG